AAACAAAAAGTGCCAAACGTGCCCCAGTCTCCACTACTTGTGGTGTTCAGCGGCTTGTTTGCATAGTAGCATATGAAGTTTCGTCCGCTTTACACTACATTGGAAGCTTTAACCAAAATTCACATAATCATTCGCTGTAGTATAGATCCTTGTGGGATTGGAAACTATATGTCATACAACCGTTAGTATTTTTTTTTTAATGTTCCTAAAATACATCCATAAAACAAACATTTTGCAATAGTCAGAGATAAATACAAAATTTCGGATGCCTGTCTCGACTCTTTCCTATTTATAACGTTATTCTACAAATTTTCAAAAAAAGTATTTTTTAATTAGTTATAATTAATTATACATACAAAATTTAGTACTTTAAGTACAAATGTCAAACAAAAGTATAAAAGAAAAAGTAATAAAGTTTACAAAGTGTTGTACCTTTTATTATATTTAAGAACTTATTTATGCAAAATATTTATGTATACATTTTTATTGTCATAGTTGCAGATAAGTATTTAATAACAGGTTCCTATCTTCTTCCGTTCTACCGTACACAATATTTAGTACTTGTAGTCCATTCGTATTCTATTTGTTTATAATAAACAAAACTACACACCGAATTTCAGAATTATACTTTTCAATATTTTGTATTTTCAATAAACCAAGCCTCTTATTTGTGCTAAGAGTTGGATATTTTTTTACTCTAAATTGGCATTTAAATGTTTTACCATTCACTGTGGTACAATATTGAGTACAATTTTCCAAAAATATTTATGCATATAACTCTATTTGTAATAGTTATGCTACATACAAAATTTCAAATTTCAATCACTAACTTTTCTATTATAAGTTAATATTTTGTACCATTTTAGTACTAACTTCAAAAATATATTACTGTATAGCATATATTTGTAATAGTTAAATCTGTGTACCGCGTTTCAGATTTCAGTTTCTACCAGTTCCACTTTTTTATGATTTAGTGCTTTTTATCACTACTGTAGTACTAAATTCCAAAATAATATTATGCATAGTAATATTAGTAATAGTCAATCATCATTCTATTTGTAATAGCTTAAGTTACATACTAAATTTCAGATATCTACCCCTACCTCTTCCATCGTAGTATAATATTTAGTACTTGTTAGTACCTTAGTACTAATTTCCAAAATTTAGTCAGACATTCTGATTTGCCTATCATCGATAATGCTGTATACTAAATTTCAGAGTTCTACTTCAAACCGTTCCGTCGTAATACCGTTTTAGTACTAATTTCCAACAAATATTTTTGCACGTCGTTCTTTTTATAATAGCTTAAGCTACCTCAACATTTTTTCACACATACCACTTCGCTTATCGTAGGCAAAGCCCCCGTTATGCAGTTTTTAGTACCTTTTAGTACGAATTTCCATGTGTGTGTATGTGTGTGCTGTACTCCTCGATCTATGAACTTTGTAGACTACCTGATGCCCAAGGATAATTTATAGAGGAGGTGATGGCCAGGGAGATTTTATAGACGAGATAATGTCCAGAGAGTCTTTATGGACCCAGCTAACAATTTTTCCGAGGGCTTTGTTTTAAGACTTTTTTGCGAGCATTCTTTTCATTTTTTTTTTTTTTAAATTTGCCGATTTTTCTAATATGTTCTTAGAAATTGCACTCTCTATTTTTGTGGCATATTCTTTCCCACATGAACAAATTATTGTTGTTTTGATGTTTATACGAAGTAAACATAAAACGGATTTTTTTCTCCTTCGTGTGAGAAATAAAAACAAATTTGCAAAAAAAAAAAAAACAACACAATGTACCGGTTTTGCATTCTTTTATATTTTTAGTTGTTGGTCTTGAGTTGGATTCAAGCGTTCAAAAGTGTTTACAAATAAAAAGTGATTACAAATTCTGTAGAAGGTGTGAAAATTAGAATTACCTATTATAGGTAAGACAAATAAATAGCTATACAAATTTCAACATCTTTTTCTTTTTTTAAATATTTCCTTTTAAACAAAGATAGGTGACTTTCTTTAATTCGGCCAACGATGGAGAACTATAAGAAAAACAGAATTGGAATATACCAGTACATTTCTAATTACTAATTTATTATTATTTCGATATAATATGTGTTGTTTGTAAACATGTCTGCCATGAAAAAATAAAATAAATTCAAAGATTAAATATTATTTTCCCTAGATTTTTTTTAATCTTAATTTTTTATTTGAATACGTTCCGATTTCTGTCAGAAAATCAAAATTTTCTTCCGAATTTCACAATAAATTTCTTTCGAATTCTGTCAGAAAATCTAACTTTTTTCGAATTTCACAAGAAATTTCTTTTGAATTCCGACCGATTTCTGTCAGAAAATTAAAATTTCCCTCCGAATTTCCCAATAATTTTTTGTGTACCGAAATCAGAACGAATTCGGCATCATAAACGGCAATTTGTTCAGAGATTCGGAAGAAATGTTTGCTGGGGATGAACGGATGGAAGCGGAGTTTATACAGAAGAGTAGAGAGTCTTCAAAGAAGCTAAAACAGAGAGTCTTCTCATACGAGTTGAAGGCCCGTAAGTCTTTATGGTGGGCTTTTTTATGCACGAGTTAAAAGCCAGGGAATATTCGGATTGAGGCCAAAAGTCTTTATAAAGGACTAAAGGTAGTCTTCACGGATGATATTGTGGTCAAGGATTCGTCATACATGTTGATGGCCCTGCTGTCTCTATAGACTATTGATGGTAAAGGAAGTCTTCAAAGGTTTGATACTGAAGGCCAGAGTGTCTTTATAGACGTACTAAAGCCGGGAAAATTTATAGAGGAGCTAAAGCCAGGAAGCCTTTTAAAATGAGGAGCTTTTATAAACGATGTGAAGACCAGGACATTTTTGTAGACGCATTTATGATCCGAATTATATGAAATTTGGCACTGCTCATTTACTTGGCCCAAGATATATTTTCGTCGGATTTTATGTTAATTTGTACGAAATTTGGCATAGAGACTACTAGACTAAATTTAGTCTAGAATGACTAGAATAGTACTAAATTTAGTTTTGTGTTAAGGTTCGGGAAAATCGGTTCAGATTTAGATATAGCTCACATATATTTTCGTCCGATTTTATGTAAATTGTGTACCAAAGATTTATTTTATAAGATTTTCACGAAATTATTCATAGCGTACTAAACATAGTCTAGAAGTGATGTGTATTAAGTTTCGTGAAAATCGGTTCAGAGTTAGATATACCTCTCATATATATTTTCTTCCGAAATCCGTGCAGGTGCAGATATAGTTTCCATATATATTTCGAACGGGTGTCTGATTGAAATTAAAACTTGAAGAGTACTTTAAATTGATTTACATAAATATGTCCCATTATACGCAAACGTCTCTAAATCTGACCGAATGATGTTAGTAGATCCACTTATAGATATAGATCACATTTTTAAGTTCTTTCAATTTAATGTCAAAGTTCCTTCGAAAAGGCGACAAATGTTAGGACACATACGTAGAATACCCCATAGTGATGAAGGGTCAGATTTTACTTCTTTCCTTACTGGTTGAACTTGGCTTCATGTTTTGATATAGCTCCATATAATGTCACCGCCACATTTTTGTTATTTTGAAAGTTTTAGAATCATTTTATATAATCAGTATAATAATTTATTTTTTTACACACAGCATTTCTCTATAATTAACTTGAGATTTTTTGTGTCCCTATCTATGTGGTAACATTATCGGATGAGACAAAAATTACTATACCAATTTAGAATATTGATCAGAGGCATTAACATTTTTATGACGAAGCTATAAAATTGTCGAGGCTTAAAAACTCGATGTGGCAATGATGACATCCGTACACATATATGTATGAATGTACAAAAAAAAACTTTAATATCAACAGTCTGACACTTGTAAATTTGTGGTTTCACTTAATTTTTATGCAGATATCAACACTTGTGTGCAGTATCTTTGTACAACTGATGCGGTTGATGGCTAAACAGTGTAATCATTTACCATACGCACACACACAGAGACAGGTATATGCATACATACATACAAAATGACGGGGCGTAACAACCATTTATTGTGTGCACGTCAATTTGTCTGATCAGCCATATGGACTAACTAACCACGTTTATCGGTAACGGTGGTGTGGTGGTGGTCGTGAGGTCCTTCTGTGTGGTCATCAGGTGGGTTCACTTTGTTTTTGTGTCAATCGTTTTTTTTTTTTTTTTGCTTTCAGATAGTTTTTAGTTTTTCTCTCCCGTTTTTTTCTTTTATGTACGCATACTTGGGCCGGCCATGGCATATACCCATCTAACATATACATATATACTGGATATTGCCTTTTTCAATTACCAACATGTTAACACATTCATCCATCAATTTAACGATGTTTGGCATTTAAAAGTGCAAAAAAGCCGACAAGAAGAGAAATGACGATGAAAAGCGAATTGCCTTTTTGGAAAGGTTGATGGAGTTATTGCCGGCAGGAAAGTCGATAATAAATGACTCACAGGTAGAAATGGTACTTGAAAAAAATCGAAGATATATATACATAGCGGAATGTTTGTGTATGAACCACTAAAGAAGAAGGAAAAAAGGATTGTTTATCATGTAAACACTTAACTAACGAATGTCCATGTAATTTATCATTCATTTGTTCATCAATATTAAAAACATAGTAATCATCATCAGCATCGTTGGCGTCGTTGTCGTCCTGCATACCATTATCTACATCGGTTGAACAGTTGCTAATAGAGATCAATAGATGAAGTTGAACTCCATTCAACCCGGAAGAGAAAGGGACTTTATGATTTGTGAAACATCATATGTTGATTTAATACCCGGAAAAGGGTATTAGAACATGGAAATATATTTAAGCCGTTTTTTACTGCCGTTGATGAAAACACACTACGTGTTCATAATAAAATACTAAAAAAGCACACGATTCCCATCTGTAATATCAATATTCCAAATGGTAGTCCTGACAATATATAAAAAGACATATGTGCATACATACCTGATTATTGTTACCGGTTACATCGATGGGCCTTGGACGACGCCGATGTATACGTTTTCGTGCGGTCTGATAGATTTTCCAATATAACACCAAAATTACTAGCAGTGGCACATAAAACGTGCAACACGTGGCGAATACCTGCATGAATAAAACAAATATTACTAGGCAAGTGGTATGAATTAAACAAAACTATATTTTTCTGTACTGAGAATTATAGATAATATACGTGCAAATGTGTATTAGGACTAAGACCATCTATCTTTTTTTAAGATTACCGTAGGATGGCTGGCATATGGGAAATATCTGTCCACTTTTTAGGGCATTCCCCATATAACGGTTCCCTCCAATGTGCTGTATTCTGATGATTTTGGTAAGTTTTTTTACAGAATTAATTGTAATTTGGTACTCTGTGTTCCCATTGGGTAGCAAATCTCCCCACCAAATATGAAAATAATATTCCCCATCAGCAGACCGCTTCCCTTAACCATAGGAATGTCAACTGGCAAAGATTTAGAGAGTTCACCATTCAGCGATTCAGAGAAAAGTCGACTCCTTCTGGTGTACGGGTAGCACAAATAAATTGCGGGAATTATTGCAGCTGCAGATACTAGATTTATACCTGCTTGGCGAAAACCCGAGAAGAAACCTAATACCCTAGCATAGGAAGTTGGTCTATCAAATAAGCGTGATGAGCTCCGTCGATCTAACCCAGCAGATCGCAGAGTCAGGGAACTCACCTTTGGAGGTAAGCAGTTTATTCACAGTGTATAAGCGGAATAAATGGTTGGAGACTCTGAAGATTTAAAACATCGGAACCAGTGTGGGTAAACTGTAGGCAACGGTTAAGTAGTTCTCGAACCCTGGTAAAAATGATGATAGGACCTCAGTCGCATATAAAAAACGAAACTGATCCGAAGAGATGCACCAGTTATTTAACCTTCCCGCCGAAAAGGTACCACCACAGTTTAAAATAGAAGATGTTGCACTTGTCATCCGTAACGCAAATTTATCTAAAGCGTTGGGCCCTTCGGAATATTCATGGTTATGCTGAAACAACTGGATGAGCTCGGTTGAGAACCTGCCCAAAGTCCTGAATTTGCCGATAGCCACCCACATTATTCCCGAATCCTGGACAATGGCCAGCAAAGGTGAATAACACAGGCCGATTTCATTTTTTTCACCAGTAGCGAAGACTCTTGAGGCGTTGCACGCCATCTACACACATATAAGTGGAGGACTTAACCAGAACCGGGCGCGCTATAGAATAGAAATAGTAGCGCTTGACACACAATCCTTTTATACATTCAATCTTGCCACACCTTTTTGAGAACATCGAGAACACTTCGCTCCGGTCAACTTTGAAACGTTGGATAATCAAATGTATGTATTTGGACGCTAGTCGTACGTGGAGTTCCGGAATAAGAAGTCCAAACTCCGTAGAGTGAAGCAGGGAGTTCCTCAAGGTGGAGTGATATCTCCGTAACCTTTCCGGTATTCCAGGTCCTCAAGACGGCATTGAAATCATTAGATATGCAGATGGTTGTGCGACATATAGTGGAGGAGATCTGTGTAAGGTTGAACGCCTATTTCTCAACGGGCTTTCTGTATCTGTTACCAGGTTTCTTTTTCCATCCCTATAGGAGTATGTGCCCACACCTAAATACGATTTAGCAGGAAGATGAACATATCCTCCACGAACTTTTCGACTACATATTTCACCGCATGGACTGCGGAGTTGAGATGAAAATATGAACAAGGCCCTCAAGTCGACTGCCAGCAGCTCTTGGGGCTCAGATAAGGAACTCTTGTTGACTACATACTGGATAAGTACTACATAGTGGATAAGTATTCAGACTTGTCAGAGCGCCGAACTGAGAACTGAAACAGGATGCCACCTTTCGTTGCAGTACCTGATGCGGTGCTTCAGGGACAATAATAACCACCATATGGTGGAAAAGCTTTCTCTCAATCAGGCATGTCAGGAAGGATCTTCATGATCTAGGGAGAGAGGTCCAACATTCTAGATCAAGTTGCCTATCGGGCAGGTCTACATAACATTCATATTGATGCAGTTGCCGCAGTTCTGAATGAATAAAGAATGAAAACAGAGCCCCCACCCAACGCAGCTGAAGAACACGAGCTGCCTAAGCAAACCCGAGTAGTTTTGGCCCAGTTAATTTTAGGATGGTGCAGTTGTCTCAATTCGTATTGGGCAGCATGTGGTACATACCTTCACACCAGACTGTTCTTATTTAATTTCTCTGACATTTTGTGTGTTGAGGTTTCATTGGGTGACACATTTTCCTATCAAAAATTTATAATAGTGGTTAACTTCTTACAATAGTCCCCATATAACAGTAACTCCCATTTTTCAATATTTTCAGGAGTTGAGGCATGTTTTTGTAGCCGAATTGGATCTAATTTGGTACTTTGAATTTCTATTGAGTATAAAATTTCCCTACCAAAAATTATCGATACAAGTTTCCTTTTTTGGGGAGAGCCCATTTTCGGGTTTTTAGTCGAATAGCCTCCAATCGTTCGACCAAAAATTTACTCGTCATGTGCGAAGGTTTCGCTACGACCGAATGTAACAAAATTTCCACAAGTTCATAGTTAAGATTTCACCTTAAGCCTTTGTGTTTCGTTTTACTTTTCAGAAACGTCGGTTTTGGTACCATTTATAAAATGTTCTTACCTGATATGAAACATCTTGTGAAACCATGCATTTTTGCTGTTCAATACGTTGTAAATAGTCTGGATCCTTCCAGCCGAATTGTGGTGCCAGTGATACTATCACCGCCGCTGTCCATACGAAAAATATCATAAGAAAGACACGTTTGCTTGTTCGCGAATGCATGTAGTCAATATTGGTGACAGCCCAATATCTGAAATGAAAGATAACAAAGAAAAAATCGAGTTTAGTTATTTCGAATGAAACTCTTTACTTGTATTTGTTGTTCGCAAGTCAATGTTGGCCAATAAATAAATGTAATTTCCAAATATTTCAGTTTGTTTCGTTCAAGGATCTCTTTGCATATTAAAAATCATCATAAATAATTTCATTTGTATGCATGTCATATACATATCAAGAACTATATACTTGTATATACATGTGTATGTGAAAGACAGTCTAAGACGATACACAATATCGTATAGCAGATTCAGATATCGACACACATACGCATATCTATATTACATCCATCATCATCATCACAGTACGTAAATAAGTCTGCATTGCTGAGAACAGACAGACTGACATAAGATTATGGTCTTACGAAGTCAATTATATACACACACGTGTGGGATGTACATATAGACACATTGAGTTATACACATATGCAATTCCTTTAAATAACTTCATTTATAATTTAAAGGATAGTCGTATATTTACATCAAAATGGAATCGGATTTTTATTTAGTTCACTTTAAATTATTTTTTCAATCGTCCTTTAAAAATCACTATATATTTATGTTTTGATTTTGTTATAACTAAATAAGACTGTAATTACAGTCTTGACCTTTCAAGGACTATTTCAAAAATATGTTATGTATACTCGAGATCTGTTCAAAATTTCGATTTTTGTATTTATTACGAACGTTTCACTGATATAAAGCACATATACTAGCGTATATTCCAAGCCCCAAAACATGTTAAATAAACATAAAATAAGATTACTATCTAGTTTGGGACCTCTAAAAGCGATTTGGCTCGAGTTCAACATTATGTTTAGGATTAAAATTGTTCAAAAAAAAAAAAAAAAAAAAAAAAAAAAAATCCAAATTGTAGAAACTCATGTTGATCAGTCGGGACATATATTTAGGGACTATTTAAAATCCGATATATTTACCGATATTTATAATACCGAAAACCGAAAACGGAAAGGAATTGTGTATATGTGGGAATTGTCTTTATATTCTCCATATAGCCAATACCTACCCTCCAATTGCAGTCTCTGTAATGAGAAATTTGGCTAAAACCTTCAAAATACTGGGTGAAACGAATAAAACGAATATATCTGTCGTTGCAAAGTTTTCATGATATTGACCTCCAAATTTTGTTTGGGTGGAAGCTGTGTCTACTTTAATGTAGAAAAATGTGTAAAAACAGGTTGAGGCGACCAGTTTTGGTATGTTCTCTATCGATTTGTGACTAAGCCACTCATTTCACGGTCTTCGTGTCAAAGTAAAACTTCAAGCCAACAAAATGGGGACTACGCCCCTTATGTATAATTTTTCAAAATTTTAACTGCATCTAGCTTTAAATGACTCTGACATTTTGAAGCTCGATTTTGACTGTTTTTTGAATTTTACTTCAATTTTCAATGCGCAATCACGAAATTCTGAAAATCGATCATATGATTATTGTAGTCGCGAATCTGAGTTATTTGATATATATTTTGTGTATGTAGTATACACAGCTTCAGAGTAATACTCATCCAAAAGTGAAAATTTTGTGCGATCAAATTTTTAAATTTTTTTTTCGGGCCAAATTTTTAGATCTGTCATTGAATGATATGGGTACCCGCGACCAGCAAGGTTTTTTACGTTTCGGATGAAATAAAATCTTCTTCGTGAAAATCCATCTGCTAGAACGGCGGGAACTGGCCTTCCAAAACACGAAATTTTACAAAAAATGTTCTTGAAAATATCGCGGATTTAATTGCATTTTCTGTGGACTTCTGTAAAAACATAACTTCTAAATCTTCAGCCGAAAGAGAGATGTACCAATTTATCTGAAAAATAGTGTGAGCTGCCACATCCATGATTCTTAATGGACCACATTGAAATCGGTATAGATCGATGTATTTTTTTAGGGTGCACACCGAAATCGCATGCGCGTTAAAAATGCAGATTTTTTAAAGCAATAATGGGTTATTCAAGATTATATTGACATTTATTTATTTTTTTTTTTGAAAAAAAAATTTCTAAACATATGCTTTTTTAACTTTGAACACCGTTACACACACATGTACGCTGCAAGCATTTGTAAGTGTTTCTAACTCCATCTTCAAATAATAATCTACTTCGACACTTATTTTTTGTAAAAGGGTGATACTTCGTAATTTTACAATAAAAAATGAATTGTTATCCAATTTCGATCGTCTGTAGTAACTACTTAGTTAAATGAAAGAAGGTGGAAATTCGATAGTTTCATAATTTACTGTCTTCTATAAGTATTTGTCATCGAATAAAAATTTGTGGATACATTTTCATTATAAAAAATCTTCGGCCTGAAACCGTTTTCATTGCTGTATCAAATAATATAGAGAGGCGCGGAAAAATATAGATTTATGATCATGGATGTATAACTCTTTGGTTATAAGTACAGAAGAATCACTTGGAACATCCATCATTCAAAGCAAACATGAGCTCTACATCAAAGAAGGCAATTGTATTGAGAAGCAAGAGGGAGGCATCTGGATTATTTTCAAACTTTTTCCCAAAGTCAACAGAATGCAACATCATAGATCCACCGCAAATGGTAATGCGTATTGAGCAAATTAGAACATCAGAAGGCAATGATATAAGTGTTTTTGAACTTGATGATTTTGATGTGAATGGCAGTTCGGAAAATAGTGAAAGTAAATATGACGGCGAAGATAAAACTGAATGCACAACATAAAAAATGAATCTTTTTCGAAAAAATTATCGGAATGGGCAATCCAAAATTATGTAAATCATAACACATAATAAGGTCTTGGTCATGTTAAGAAAAGAAAGAAATCAATGTACCTAAAAACTGCGGGATATAAAAGGAACTCCAAACTAAGTATACATTGGTAGTATTTTAGAGGATCATATACTCATTATGGGTTAAAAGACTGTCATAATGACCGTAGAAAAAGAATTGCAATTTTTGCCATTGCTGTCATTTTATGTTTTCGACGATTTTAAAAATTTTGATGCCAAACTTCTAATAGATGATGAAGTTCGGGATCAATTGGTAATATATAACTTTTATCATAATTTCTGCCACCGTTCAGATACAAATATATTACAGAAAATATTAATAAATCGTGTTGGGGGAAAAGAAATGTCATCATTTGTTAAATTAGCATTTAAAGCTGTTATAAGTGATCAAATAGCAGTTGAAATGACATGTCGTGGAACTATACAAAAATAAGAGGCAAGTCAGCTTACTTTTGTGTTAATTTGAAATTTTTAAAACATTAATTTTTACAGATATGTGGCATCTAAAATTTCCCAGACGTCGTTGTTGGACCTAAACAAAGTTTGTCAACATCATATTTTACGCGCTCGGTATAGAATACAAAAATTTAACTAAATAATGTTTTTAGTTTATCATCAATATTATCTTTGTTTGGCGTTAAATGTTGACTTTTTTTCAAAATATAGATTACTCATTATTCATACAAGTATTTTACTTTCTGTATCAAAAACTCACTACCAGGCGATATCGTATTTTAACAAAAGAAATGAAGAAATGAAACACGCATTCGTCACATCTTAAACGTATCTTCTTAGTGAAAGTTGAAGGTAACTAAGGCGATAATATTTAAGGTACCAAAACAGTGTCATTTTGGAGTGTCGATTTATTAACTTCAAACTGTGACGAGAAAGATACTTTTTAAAGGTAACGAGTACGTGGTTCATTTCTTCCCAAACGGTATAACTTATTTGTTAAAAATACGATATCGCCTACGAGTGTTTTCATCGCCTGGTAGTAACTTTTTGCATATTTTTTGGATAGAAAATTTTATATCCCACATTATAGCATTGTGTGGCCCCAAGACCTTTGGTAAATCATTACGCAGTTATGGACGAAATTTTTGCCTGCAAATCCAGTTCTAAATCAACTTATTGAGGAAGAATGTAACATTTCCGTGACGGATACAAAAATTTTCGATGGAGATAGAAGACAAACTTTGTTTTATTTGATTTTGTCATCTCAAGATCCACACAAAAATTTTCCTCATATTAGTATCTGTATAGAAACATATGTTAATTTTGTCACGCACGCGTTATATATTATCTTACACTATTTAACTGCACTTACCACGGTATTCTGTTGTTATGTATATAGGTTTATATACATATGTAATTCTTAGTAAGATGTTAAATTATTTGAATTTAATATTTATTATTGATATTATTTTAACTAACAGCAGCACTGTGTGTCACCACACTTGGATCCTTTTGAGAATATGCCCGTCATTATGTCTGTCCATGCTAATTGTAAATAAAGCACAGGTCGCATTTATGATCCGAATGAGGACGAATCCTATTGAAAATCGGTTCAGATTTAGATATAGCTCCAATATATAAAATTGCCCGATTCAGCCAAAATTTAACAAATCTGAATTTAGTACAGATTGAAGAGTTCATATTTAGATAATTTTTTATCGGTTTTATGTAAACGGTGCACAAAACTCCCAAAATGTATTTAATTTTATGTAAATTGTGCATCAAAGCCCCTATATTTCTCTCGAAATTGTGTACAGCGTATCAAAGTGAGTCAGATTCAGATTTAGAAATAGCTCCCATATATGTGTTCATCCGATTTTATGTAAATGGCACGCTAAACTCCCAATTTTTGTCCGATTACGACGGAATTTGGCATACCATATCGTATTGGATTGTTAGTGATGTTTGCGAAGTTTCGTCGAATCGGTTAAGATTTAGAAAAAGTTCCCATAGATATTTTATGTAAACTGTGCACCTAAGAAGCTATTTTTCTTTAATATACTCAAAATTTTAACAGCGTATTGAATTGAGATCGGTTCAGGTGTAGATATAACCCTTACATACAATGCAGCCTACCAAATGGTAGGTTATTTAATTAATTTAGGATTTCCCAGAAACTCTAATCTTAATCCAGCTATAGGCATATTTATTAGCTGCATGTGAGATTTT